AAGTGCAGATCTGCAAACTTCTGTTATATAAATTCTGAACATCTCAAAGTACAGAAGTAAAATTCTCCCAGTTCAGATGCATCCAGACTAATTCTGGGCTAACGTTTAGGTTATGTTCTCAACTGGCAGGGTTTCACAGTAAAACATAACAGATTTTTGGCACAATAAAGATGAGAAAGCTCTCAATATATAACGTTTGATCTGTGGCAAAAAGTGTAGAAGAGAATTTCTGAGCCTTCGAAGAGTTTGGAGGGATCTAGGTTGTCAAGCTACAGGTGAAAAGCAACTTTTTATGTTTGTGTCATAGAATGGTAAATTGTAAATGAGATATAAACAGAGAAAGACGTAGAAAGACCTTTGTAGAACTCTTTGAATTTGGAGCTCAAGTCAGGGAGCTTATATAAAATATGCATATGACTATAAATTGAAGAAGCGTAAATACAAATACTGAATCAATTGGAACAAAGATTGAGATGCAAGATAAATGCTGTTTTGGAATTAAGATACTTTCCATTATTTCTATTTTTTATTATTTTCTCCATAATATATATATTTTTATGTAGCAGGTGTCAGTATCCTCCTAAGATATCTTCCTTTTTGTTTATGATAACACAATCCTTTACATATGATTTTGCTCCTTCTGTTCTTAGAGTCATTTTCCTTATGGGAATAAAACTATTGACAGCAAAACCAAAGCAAGAAGTGTTTGAAAATCAATGAATTTACAGAGCAAAAATACACAGTGAGCAAATATACACAAGTTTAGTGATAAAGCAGTAGTTGAAATTGGAATCTTACTAAGATATACAGGAATTGGGTGATATTTTGAGTGGATTTTTACCCACTTGTGGCCACCATGAAATCTGTTGTGTTGGGCATATTCACTACCTCCTGTTCTTGATCTGCCAAACAGATTTTATAATAAAATCTTGCCAGAAAGGTTGGTGACTTCCTTACTTTGAAAATTCATTATTTAAGAAAGCCGTTACTGGTTTTACTAGAGGCTGGGTGATCTAGAGAATTAATTGTTACAAACGTTAATGATTTTATTATTTCAGGTATTTCAGAGCCATCTCCTCTGGTTAATCTTTCCAAATGTGAACCAAATATTGCTTGTGGATTCTGTGATTCTGTGGGCAAATTTCTCTGTCATTTAGACAGCTTCTCATAATTCTGCAAAATAAGCAGAATACAAGTGACAAGATTAGATATTTTTCAGGAGCTTTTTTTAGCCATGATGGGATCTCCTCTACAACTCACGTATTGTTGGGGTGAGCAGTGAGAGGAGGTCAGCTTAATTATTGAACTTATTTGGGGGAAGAAAGGTTGAGATTGGTTCTGAGAGAAACGACCAAAAAGCAGAAGTCTGCTGACATTCACAAGATCCAGGAGGACAGAGGTGAATTTGTCTAGTCAACAACAATGCTGGTTTTAATTCTGTGGAAATAAGTAATTTTGTAAGTTTTTCACATTCTAATTACGTATCTGAGTCAACATCACAACTATCAATGTTGTAACTGATTATTGAATTTTGTAACTGATTTCGTAACTGATGAATGAACCTACAATCAAATGAAAGGTTAAAGATAATTTAGTTTTGGATTTACGAGGTTGTCTTCTGTCAGCGAACACTGAACTACTTGGAGAAAGTCATTTTTGCTACCAGTGCATTACGTAGTATACTAAAGAAAGAACTGTGGTACTTTCTTAAGATATTCCTCTGCTATTTCACACATCATTTCTTTCACATTAGCAGAATGCCACTTCAAAGGAGAACAATCCCTTTGACTCAGAGGAGATTGGCTTCTGAATTTAATTCTCACAGTGAACAAGTTGCTTAAACATTTCTGCCTCCAGAGCAAAAAGCACAGATCGTGGCAGTGAAAATTATCTAAAAAAACAGTCCTTTGCTTGTGGTCTTCAAATGGAATGTATTCACAATTCCGTTCTATTATAACAAGACGTTGTAAACGCGCACCTCCTATTGCTTGGAAATGAAAAGCCTTCTGTGCAAGGATAAGCTTTCATTTTAGCTACTTACAGCAGAAAAGTATATTGCCTGGATCACACACTTGGATCCACTGACACCAGGAATAGGAGTTTCCAGAGATATCTATTAACTAACGATAGTTTTAACAATAAGTTTTGCATAGTAGCTAATCCCACATGAAAAGTGGGAAATTTCTCTCTTCTTTGTTTTCTGAGTATTGTGACATGAGTTGAAGCATATCATTGGTCATATTAGTCAAAAGTGACTGAAAGAGGGAAGATAAACTTCCTTTAAAATGATTTCCAATCTTTTTAAAACTTTTTTTTCAAAAAATTTAAATGAGTATTTGATTCCCTTTTTCTGAGATACTAAACCAAACAGATTCATGTTTTTTAAAAGAGGATTGGTTTTAAAATGATTTCCAATCTTTTTAAAACATTTTTTTTCAAAAAATTTAAATGAGCATTTGATTCTCATTTTCTGAGATACTAAACTAAACAGATTCATGTTCTTAAAAGAGGATCAGTATTATAAATGAGCAGCAGTTCCCTCAGGAGAGCAAGGGATCTCTTGTGACTCCCAACAGCCATCATATGACAGTTTTCTCCTGTTCTTATTGTATGCCCCAGGCAGATTTTTTAGAGGCTAATAAGCTCTGTTTTTTCCTCCTTGGTATAACAGTATTTTGTCTTATATAAGAACAGAATCCTGAGCATGCTTCCTGTCGCTATTACAGATCCAAATATCCCCAAATATTTAACAGAAATTATAATTCTTATTTTAAGATTAAACCTTTTGCTACTTTTGGGGGGTAATCCTAAATCACAGAATGGGAAGATTTCTGAATCTGTGTGGAATATAATCCGAAAGACGCTCAAATATAATTATAATAAATTAAGTTCTGTCTGTTCAATTATTATGTATGTACTACACTGAGTAACGTATCAAATTTATTAAGTGCTATTAGGTTCTGAAGTTCAAGAAAGTAGCTTGAAAATAAAAGCTCAGATGTGTCTGTTTTTTTTGAAAACACTTAGAATAATCTAGGAGGCTAGTTTTACCTTTAAAATAAAAAAATAGAAAATAATAATAATAATAATAAAAGCTAAACTGAATTTGTAAACTTTTCTGAGAATACGTGCACAGAGAAACTTTTCTTATTTATAGCTTCTGCTTTAGAAAAACTGTGTACAGCTCTTTAGATTGATAACAAATTAGGACCAGACATAGCATTTTGTCTGGGCATTCATAACCTCTAAGTGGCTTTACATTTTCAAGTAGTTCTTCAAGTACTTATTTGTAAATGAATGCCTGGAATTGAACCAGATGTCTCATCAGCTTTAGCACTGTTTCTATAACATAGAGAGAAGCAGAAAGAAGACCATAAAGGAGCAATAATGAAAAATAAATAGAATCATGTAATAAAAAGTATTTAATTGTATTGACCTTTTCTATGGAAGAGAGGCATTTGACTTTTATGTAAAGCAACCGGCACACAAACCTGTGACAGCTTTCAAGATTGTACATTTGTTATTGATATAGAATTTTTCTCTATTTTATCTGGATTTTTAATAGGTGCATTTTAGTGGAGAAGTAAAAAAGGAAACTGACATTTCTATGTATGAATCCACTTTTTTAAATCTTTAAATGTAAATTAGATTCATCAGTTTCTCTTTCAATCTAAACTTGACGTTAAGAGACAAATTAAAATAACCCTTAGCTTACAAATTGGTTTAAGCTGGTGTTGAGTAATATGTGAAGCAAATGGTAGAAAGAAGTAACTGCAAGTGTTAGAGTGAATACCTCTGTTCTTTTAATTTCTTGCATACTTCTGATAATTATTTTTCATGCTATAAATTCTCTATTTTATCCTGTATTTTTGTTTTCATCTTATTAGTGCTGAAAGACTCATATACCTGGGACAATCAGGCAAATTAATTCAAATTGAATTTTAAAGTGGATTAATTAAGTTACATTAAACCCCTATGTAAATTCTCTTCTTCAGAATTAAAATGGCTTTTATTTAATATTCTTTAGAAGTGAATTAAGGTAAATCAGATTACGCTCTACTGTTTAAGAGTGTCTTTCTTCAAAGTAATGTCACCTAAAAGTTAATTTCTGGGGGATTGTTTCCCTAAGGAATTTCTTATAGGAGAGCCCTAGAAATTTTTTCTAGCCTCCAACAATTGTCTCAGGTTAGCTGCTATGTGGTAATGGGCCATGCTAACCTATTTACAAAAGTTGGGTGTGCACATAACTACCAACCCTGAATGCAAATTCAGGTCAGTGCTTCCAACTAGCGGACTGCTATACTATTGAGGCTTATGGTAAAAAGGGAAAAAGTATATTCTTTGGAGAACACATGTTGTAAAACATATAATTTAATGCATTTCTTATTAACAGAGGGAAACTCTCTAGTTTGTTCTGAATGCAGAATTTTTTGTGTGTGTTTTGACCCAAATATCTATTTTGTTCCCCATATGAAAAAAATGGAAAATGTATTTTTTTCATTGATTCAAAATAGACTTGACAGTGCAATTCTATGCTTGACAAGGATAAGGGTTCTTCCTTATTAAGAGCCAGATTCTAGAAGCAAACTAAGCAAAGAAGCTGCATAGTATTTCATTCTATTTTTTTGCATCGGGTTTGACAGTGGAAGAAACAACCGTAGTGACCACTTATCTGAACTACTGACATTGAGGAAGACAGCGACACATTTCACAAAGCAGGCTTCTCTCTAGTGAAGGTGTGGTGCTTTCCATCCACAGAACAGAAATAGGGAGTAAGCTTGCTCTCTTGGAAAGATAATTCCAGGAACATCATGCTAGTGTCCTGTCACTTACGCTGGCCAGACCATGGATTATCAAACCAAAATCATAACCAAACCATAATACGGATAAGAACAAAAAAGGAGAGACCAAATGAATCAGAAATGCTTTTGTGTTGCTTCTATGTAATTCCATTTTAGTAAGGGAATATCAGCTAGGTTTTGACTTACTACTAGTTTTGTTTTTCCTTCTTTTATTGTAGTTTATTATGCTGACATACATCTTTATGTTGGCCTGGCTCGGCGTTACAGCTTTCACTTCTTTGCCTGTTTACATGTACTTCAATCTATGGACCATTTGCCGAAATGCCACCTTAGTGGATGGAGCTAATCTCTGCTTGGATCTTCGCCAGTATGGTATGTAAGTGAAGAACACTAAGATGCAAGTTTTCAAACAAAGTCACTTCCCTTCCAAGTATCTAAGATGAACTATCTTAGTGTTTATGAAACAGTTCTTAACACAAAAAAAAAGGTAATGCACTTTTCATAATTTCACCCAGTAGTCATGGCACTGAACAGGATATTAGGGATTTGCTTCCACTGAATTTCACAAAGGAAATTAAAGCAAAATTGTCAGTCTTCCTAAAGTACTAAAATTTTGGCTGTGGACTTCTATTTTGTCTTTCCTTTTAGAACTGCTGAAACTTGTACAAAATGCTTCATTAGTCACTGTTCTGTAGAATGACTATTTAATCTTGTGGGCAGCACACTGATTTTGAAACATGACATTCTCTATTATCATTTATCCTTGAAGAGTCTAAATATTAATGCATATTGAATACAATATTTACTTAGTATTATTTATATATTGAGAAGAATATAAATACTAATACTCATAGAAGGAGATATGGGGAGCTACAGGCTCAACCATGAAGTTTGGAATACAAGGAGGATATACACAGATATGTGTGTATGAGGGATGAAAAATATGGAGAAAGAGGGGGTTGGAATCTTTAAAAGTCTGAGATATGTTGGCAATGTCAATTCAATTTCTTTCTATCCGAAGACTGATTTGACTGTAGATGTTCTAGGTATTGGTCATTCCTCAGCCCACCGAGCCTTTCGTATTCATATTGTTACTAGGCAGCTTTTTAGCGTCTAATTCTCTTGTTTCCTAGGCCTAAGATAAAATTAATATGTATTATCAATTATTATGTTGAGATATAAAAAGCTGTGTATTGCTTTGGAATGAAACAGTTTGCTTCATATTGAATATTTCATTTCACCTGAAACAAAATATTTCATGTTATTGTTTTAATGAGGGGGAAAAAATGTTTTTTACTTTTTTTCAAGAATGCACGTGTATTGAAAAAGAACGTATCTGTATAGATCTCACCCAGAGTCTTCATTTTTCTGTCTATGAGATTTTGTTTTCCTAATACTTAAGCATGTTTTATTATTAATTTTATTTAAAATGTACATATAGTGCTTACATATTATTCTGCGCTTATGTTTATCTTCCCCTAAACAGTCCAGTCCACTGTAAAAATGTTGATAGTAGGAACAAATGCTTTACCATTTTTCTTGGTAGCTGAGTTATAGCTGCTTTCTTCAAGCTAGTTTTGATTTAGGAATCTAGTAGGATTTTGTATCTAATCATCAGCTAAAGCAAACAATATAGCAATTTCAATATCAATAGTTCTTCTTGTGATAGAAATAGTTATTATAGCAAAGCATGATTTTTGGATAATGCTTTTATAACTGCTTAAAGAAGCTTTGTACCAGATCAATAGATGTGAATACAACATATGGCACATTCCTCAGCATGAGGATAAAGAAAATTTATTAATAAACAAGCAAGGTAAGTGCAAATACTGGCTGCAAGTTATTATTTTCTTGTAGTCATTTTCCTGCAAGTTATTTTCTGATGATCAAATCTGGAATGAGGATATTTTTTAAAATGGCTAAGATGCGTTTACCTGCAGGTATTTCCTACCACAGGTTTTGCTAAATAGGTAATATGTCGGTTTTGTTACACTTTGAATAGGGGAAACAGATTTTGTCGTAAAGCTCTGCTTGTGGCCTGTTGCCAGCATTCCTGGCTCATATGAAGTAAGCTGCAACATAGTTGGAGTACTAAATACTGTGCATATTTTTTTTGCTGCAGGTATTGTAACTATTGGAGAGGAAAAGAAAATTTGCACCATGTCAGAAAGTTTCTTCAAGATGTGTGACTCTAATGAGGTGAGAAAATGTGATTATATTTTTGCAAAACCATAACATACATTATAATAGAAAGTAACTGATCTGTATGCTTTCTTCTTACATTTAATGTCCAATCTTACTTAAGGTGATGGAATGAAATCCCAGTGGAAAATACATCAAGTACTTTATCTACTCTTTTACCAGATTCTAGCCATCAGTTTTCTAAACATATGTTTATTTTAATTTTTTAAAGAATCCATTAAGCCAGAGCATTGAAAATATGATTGCTTTTGTGAATGGAGAAAAAAAAAAAAAAACAATGTGCAAAGAGGACAATTTTCCCGTATATTTTTCTCTTTGCTTTTCCCTTAGGCAAAAGCTACCTATTTCAGTGCACCTGAGCTTTTTGGTTTCTGTTTAAATGAACAGAGAGAAAGACAAGAGAAATAAAATGATTTCTATCTGAAATAGACTGCACTATCTCCACGTTAAAGGAGGCAGTAAAATAATCCAGAGGGATGACACAGGCTTTAGTTCATTTTGTTGGCTAGGCAAGATCTTTGAGATAACAATATCCAGCCTTAACTGGCACCATTGCCATAGAGATGGGCTTTCAATTAGTAATTAGCAACTGACAATTAGCGCAACTTGCTTATGGGGGGGTGGGAGAGAAAAATAATGCTAAAATGCTATAGTGTTACTTCAACCTGTGTGAGGGGCCTCTCAACCCTGCAAGAAAATGAAAATGTTAGCGTTCCTACACTCTGAATGTACAGGGAACCCCGATCCCTGTTCAGATAATCACTGCTAGACTCTGTCTGTATATCTTTAGGAAAGGAGTAGGTGACTGTGGGATGGTCATCCTCACAAGGTGGTCCTTACAGTATCTTCGGGCGAGTTTTTGGCCCATCATCAGGCGCTTTGCAAGCCTACCAGCTCTTTAGTGAGTTGGGTATTTCTTTGCAAACGTTAGCTAGGTTGGATCGCCTTGGCCCTGCAAGACATCCCCCCTCCCTGTGTTGTTGGGGAAAGCACCCATAAGTCACACCATCGGTTTTCTGCTGTGAGTGCCAGAGCCCTGTGAGCTCTGGCAGAGCTAATGCACATCAGTTTTGTTTTTAGCTCTTTACTCGCCCATCAGAGACCAAAATTTGGATCCCTCTGAAATCAGTGGGTGTTTTGCTACCTCTTTTGCTTGTTCTCATCCTCCCTAAAAAAATCTTCTTAGCCTGAAGTTACACAATCTGCCGCCTTTTATACCAAAACTTAAGAAAACGGAACCCTTACTATGCAGCCAGTCCTCAGCAGGGGCTACTACATAAACCAGCTGTAAAATGAAAAACAGCCGTAAGACTTTGATTTGGTGAGGTAAGGAGGAAAGAGGTGTCTAACTTGGATTATTTCAGTAATCAAGTGTGTTTTGTAGCACTATGAAAAAGCTTACCAGCAAAAATGAGAGCGCAGTGCAATAATATGTGAGTATGGGAACCTGCAGCTGATGGAGGAACAGGGTTTCCTTACACCGTCTCTGAGGAAAGCCCTGCATCCACTTGCTGGTCTAGTTAGATGATATTGTGAATGTATTCGCTGTACACGTACAACTGTACATGTATAAAAAATGCTGTACTGTCTTAGTTTAAAACGATTATTTTTAATTCTTATTATATTTAGTTACTTTTAATTATAATTTTAAGGATTGCTGGGACTTTATTCTTGGTATAAGCATTATTACAACACAGATACATGTACAGTGCTGCGTGGTGGCATTGGTCTTCCAGAAAAAAAAATTAACAATCATTACTTTTGTAGAGGGTGACACTAGGAAGATAGTTATTTACACTGTGCTGTTCAGCCTTTTCGTTCAGTTTCCAATTACCATTACTGCCAAGTAAGTCCTTTTCTCTGTCGCCCTTTGCAGCTAAACATGACGTTCCACTTGTTCATCGTGGCGCTCGCTGGAGCTGGAGCAGCAGTCATTGCTATGGTAAGCTACCCTGCACCTTGCCCGAACTCGCGTCCTCTGAATCACGATTACACTCTGATTCCTACTTAGCATCAGTCATTTAGGTTTGTGCAATATCAGTGCTATTAGCAAAATATAACTCTCTAATAGAATAGTACCTCTTGTTGTGTGTGTTTTTTAATATATTCATGAATTCCTTTCAAAGTAGAATGTTCTGATTGTGTTTTTAAATATAAAATTCCTTCAAGCAGATGCAAAGTCACTTTACTGCTCCCTTGCTCGGTCCAGACAAGTGTCTTCTGGAAGCCTCAATAGTAATATTTGTTTATGATCTCTGTCTTTTTTGGTAGCACAGGCTTGCCATGCTGCTGTGCTAGGAATAGACTCTTTTTGTTAATTCTGTGCACATATATAAATGTCTCAGCTTCAGGATTAATTTTTGACGTATTACCTAAGACAGATTGCTTTTAATATGATATTTTGCCAACAAGAATGCTTCAGGGAGATTGCATGGAGGCTACAGCCCAGTTCTGACTTTTGTTTGAGAGTGGGTGCTCTCTACCACTGAGGATTTCTATGGTACCCACTGGAACAGGGAATAAAAAATGACTGTTACTTGGTACTGAGGTATATAATAAAAGTATAGGTGATGGTGATCGCTACTGCTAGTGCTATTAATGCTTATATTAATTGGAGCTATGTTTTATGATAGCAGTACTGTTTTTCATTGAACCCTGGGGTCATAAGGTTTTTCATCTTCTTCAAACTACTTTTATTAGAATGGAGAATCAGAGAATATTCAGTGAAGCTAGTACCCTTTTCATATTAGAGTTTTTGTGCTTCCCTACAGCTTTTGCAATATCTTGTGACATTCTGCCACAGAGCTAGCTAAATTAAAATTACATATTCTAATGTAATTCTTGTTTCAAGATGACAAAAAATAAACATAATAGTAGAATACTAAGTTATACTAATAATTTAATTAGTTCACTCTGGGATTTTCCAAAAATAGACTCTGAATAAATGGCAACCATGTAGTAATTTTTGTGTAAATACATTATTAGTAGTAACATTATATATGCTAGTGAACATTATTTATGCAGTGCAGTATTGTTTTGAGATATATTCACATCTAATGGAAGGCTGATCATATTGTTATTTGCTCAGATAAGCATTCTGCCTTTCCAAGAAGATTTTTGAAAGCTCTCTTTTTCCTAGATATAGCCCTCAAAAGAGTAGAAGGTAGTAGGGATCAGCAGAGGGTCAGGACAAAAAATGTGCAGAAGTCATCTGAGAGGACTGGATACTAACTTCCCTCATATGTTCTGTCACTAGAAGACTCTTAAATGCATTAAGTTAATGAAGTTATTGTCTAGTGTCTTTGCATGTCTCCACAGCAGTAGCAGATCTCTGGGTCGATGAGTTCTTAACAAGACTTTTTTCACAGAAAAATGAGATTAAACTCCAAGTCTCTTACAAGAGAGGAAGCTCATGGTCTTATTGCAAATTTGCAAGATTTCTTTTTTTAATTATTATTTTCAACTAGAGTATACTGTCTTGACTCTAGTCAAGTATCTTGTATTTATTACAAAATTATTATTACCAGTTAATAATAGAACTTCATCACCCAGGATGCATAATTTAAATGGTAAAACCAGTTTGGCAGTTTTAAATCATGACAGTGAGAGGCTTTGCTAGTATCTCTTTTGGAGATAGGGACATTTCAAAGAACAAAAGTATTTAATGCATTCAGAATTCTCTAACTCTGTAAATTTTTTTCATAAAACTTATTAATGAAAATAGTTTGTTCATAAATATTAGGACCATCTATCACCAGGATACTTTTCATTAATCTGTGTTTTAAAAATATAACTCAGAAAAAACGTAGGCATTTATTGTGAAAATGAATAATATTGTTATTTCTTCTGTCTGGATAGAAATAAAAGTCCACACAAATAATCAAGTAATATGATTTTTTATTTTTATTGTTGTGTCATATAGAAGCAGATGTTATGAAGTGGTTTAACTGTAAATGCTAGCATCTTAAAGGGTTGATTGTAAGACTAGTAAAAACACTGCCTGTGATGATTTCTGAGAACCATCATATCAAAACTATAAGTTATAGAGTTTCTTCTCAAAAGTGATGATCTAAACCAGTATTCTTCTGCCCAAACTTCCCCATTCTGTAACATCAATAGGCTGTCAATTCTCCTGAAATCAAAAGGGGTGATGGGAATGTGTAATTCTCCTCCAGCATACTTGTGCTCTTTTGCAGGATGTTAGTTGCAGGTGAGGGGTAGAAAAACAATTCTTTAGATTTTGCCCAGCTGAAATAAGGAAATGCAAATTCTAGAGAGCTATACAGAGCTAAAAGGTCGAAGCAGCCTTTCTCCTCTCAGAAGAAATCTAAACAGGAGCAGAGACCCTTACTTGGAGTCCTGTGTGTGTCTGTAATTGATCCGTCCTGAGGCAGGCTGTGGAAGCTGCCCTGGCTCAGTTTGAATAAGCCTTGACCTGGCCCCGCAAGCTTCAGGCTAATCAAGTCATGAAAGTGTGAAATGCAATTAGACAGCCACTTAGAGATGACCTCCTTAGTGTGACTATTTTAGCCAGGAATTTGCTTTTAAATAATAAATTATTGGGAAAAAAAAAAGTTTGCAGGACTTTGAATGGTTTCAATCTGCTCTGAATAGAGCTCCAAATATTTGCTATTTTTTTTTTTGTATGGAGAAAGGCCTTACAGGACTGGACATGGTAAGATTTTATTCTCAAATTGTTGAGTCCCCGATTACACAGGATTGTTTTAGCACATTACATATGTGCTATATATATGATTATATAATATGCACATGTATTTGAGATTATATTCATTGTTTGAGTGAAAGTCACTATTTTCAGGAAAGTCACCTACTTGTGGTAAATATGCACTCCAGAAGAGTTTTCAGTAGCTATGCCAGAATTTTGGTTCTGTACATTTTTCAGTTAGGCATATGAGGGGAAAAAAGGGAGTATAATGAACATCAGACTGTGGCCAATGCACCATCAGAGTATTTTGTCATTGTTTTATGATTTTGGATGATGATTCCAGGAATATCACTATGTTTTTATATTGAGAAAACTAATGTACATATTCGCGTATCACACAGTCTTCTAGCTCTCAGGATGTAAAAGGTGAAGGGCTTAGATACCACCCTGGTTCGTTTGTTCATGGTTATCTTTTATATTTTCAATAGTCATGGCCACCAACTGCTGGTCAGTGTAGCATCAACAGCTTTGAGTTGAGTAACCCAGGATTAGTAAAGCTCAAGCTTGAAATTTACATGTATTTACATATCTTGTTTACATACATAAATGTATGTACATTTATTTCTGTACTACTGGCTGACTTAACAGTTCTGATGAAATTCAAAAATCTATAGTTCTGACTTTGAACGTGCTGCATTCTGACTCGCTATGTTGCTTTCTAGCCCTGTGACACTCTGTCATCTCTTTTGCAGGTTCATTATCTCATGGTCTTGTCTGCTAACTGGGCCTACGTGAAAGATGCTTGCAGAATGCAAAAGTATGAGGATATTAAGTCAAAGGAGGAACAAGAGCTTCATGATATTCATTCTACTCGCTCTAAAGAGCGGCTCAATGCATACACATAAGGGAAACCTGGTCTTACTTTCTAACATTTGAATGCTTTCTTGTTTAACTAAAGGCCATCCAACCATCTCAAAAAACAATTGAAAGTGCTTCTCACAAAAGATAGTTTAGGTGACTTACATGTCACCCATGTACAATTCTTGGCTGTCTAGCACTTGTCTCTTAATTAGTTCTTACTTTGTGTGACCATTCTCTACCACAAAGCTCCTAAATAGCCTTTCCTGAATCCTTTTAAGCCAATTAGTTCTGCTAGATCAAGGATACTATATTATTGTCAAATACAAAAATGTGTTTGATTTTTTTTAATCACTTTGTATGTGTTATGCATAACACCTTTTGCATTATTTCTTATATGTTTTTGAAAAAAATAACTTTTTATACTTTTTGGTTTTAAATTCAATACTACTTTAACTACAGGTATACTTCAAAGGGACCATTGTACATGATGTACAATATATAGAGAAAACACTTTGAATTTCCTTTATATTTGGAAATATTGCCAGATAGACCCTGCTCAACTTGAATGAAGGTCCTAAGAACATTTTAAGCAATCAAAGGTGCAATTTCTAAATTTATAATAGTGGGTAAAAAGAAAAAAAAAGAAAAAAAAAAGAAAAATGAAAAAAAGATTTGAAAAAAAAAAGAAAAAAGTGCTTCTTATCTTTGTTAACATTGTATTATTCTTGATGTTTTTAAAGACTATTCTCTTGTTCCAAGTTCCATGGGTGATGATTCCTGTTTGTATTGTGAGCATGCAGACCGTGGTGCTAACAATGCATGGCCACTTGCCTTTTTAAGGAATTCAATACCACGGTTACCTGTTAAAGAGTTATGGTATATAGACAATTGTTAATTAAGTGATATAGTTAACCATAGTTTTTTACAGAATGATCTCTCTTTAATTCAATGATAGTTATGCTAAATTGGAACTGTTCATATGATGATGTGAGAAATTGCTGCTTAGCTACATTTATGAAAGTAATATATCAAAAATACAGTGACCGTAGGAATCGGAAGTGTTTTTACCTGCTTTAAAAATTTAACTGGATTGCACCTGTCTGAACTGTACAAGATATATTAAAAGAGACTTCCATAAATGTTGTAGCGTGGCTTCTAGTTTTCCTACACATACTGTTTTACCTGTAATATGTTAAAGTAAGGTGAAAGACCACTACAAATCTTATTGTTTGAAAGTGTAGTAATATATTTGAGCCTTTATTTTGGTAGGAAAATGTTATCAGAAATGTAGGTCATCCTAATTTGAAGGAATTGTATCAAAAACAGAGCAAAAAACCTATTTAAAAAAGTATTATTGGACCAAATTTGGTGATATCTTTTTTCTATTTTTTTCCTTTTTTTTTTTTTGCCTATTTCTAATGCTACAAGAATGCTGTAAAGTGTCTTTTAAAGTGATGTAGCCTGACAAGACATTTTTGTCAGTGTTAAAAATCTTAGGTAGTTTTGTGCACTTATTGGACCATTGTGAATTCTCTCTCAGTGTAAGTGCATTTCTAATAAAAATTCTTGAGTAAAACTCTTCTTTGTACTATTACTAGTCATGCATCATCAGTAATTTTTAACAATTCTTGTAGTAAGTAGAGGGTAATACTATAGTTATTTGTGGCATGATAATGCATTAAGTAATACTGATTTTTTTTTCTTTTGCTTGTTTTGTTTTTTTTTTGTTGTGTTTTTGATTTTTTTTGATTTTTTTTTTTAAACTTAGGCTATCCTAGAAGATCAACAGTTTTCTGATATGTGCAGTACCGGTATTACAGTTCTGCAGAAGTATTAGGAACCTCTTTTGGATTCTATATTGTAGTGTTTCAGTTTTGTGTCTTAAAACGTTTGTGCTGATTTTTAAAACTATGTCTTTTAAACTCATGTAATGATGTTTAATGCTTTGGGCTCTTCTCTGGTATTAGAGTTTGTATTTTCACAAAGAATGCTTTGTAGCAGGCATTACAATAATCTGTTTTGTACATAAATGTGCCAACAGCTTGATGGTGGCGTTTTTGAAATGTAGAACAAAGTGCTTGCAAAAATGTAATAAACACACTGGTGTACTTTGTGTACTTATTAACTACTTGTGTCTTGTCTCCTTTTCTTTTCCTACACTGAAGAATCCTTGCAAGCAGAAATGGAAGAAGCCTGTGCTGGTATCTTTGCTATTGTGGGAATGTTTTCAGTATTATGCATTTCTTTGTAGAGCTTATGTTTTATGTTTAGATGTCCCAGGAGACAATCTCTTTACTAGAAATTTGAAACCCCAAAGTAAAATTATAAAATATAATCTGGAGATGTTACATCAGTTGTAGAGCATGTCTTTGCCAAATCTGTGATAAAAAATTCACATTATGAACAATATCTAAAAAAAAAAAAATATATGTCTCATCTACTACTAGGTAATTCATGACTGAATTCATTCTGGCCTGTATCTCTTAAATCACATCTAGGTTCTGCCTCAGAAGAAATTCTGCCTCAATTTTGAATATTTAATTGCTTTAAAGTCACAGTTTCTTCCCATATTTCGATTACTCCAAATGCACCTCTTAAAACCAGCATTTAGTACCAGAAGCTATATATTGTAAGAATAAGGGAGTAAAATACATTCTAAGGCAGAATTTCACAGTTCAGGAAGAGCAAAACAGGATATATTTTTAACCATATTATTTTTTATATATTTTATAATTATATATATATATATATATTTTTTTTTGGACAGGGTTATCTTATTCCCTCAGCAGCATGTTTTTTCCTCCTGCAGTCACCAGTTACCTCTTCCCCCCCTGCTCCCCAAAAAAGGTGCTTAGTTCCTCAGCAGTGCTGTGTCAGTAACTCTGCTTTCAGCACAGCTACCCAAACCATTGAATCTGCATGGTTTAGGTGATGGTGAAATGCAACACAGGCCTGGAGTTGAGTGTCCACTGCAGGGGTGGGGAGAAAGAGGCTGCCTAAGCCAGGGTATCACCTGACTGGGTTGTAAAGTTAAAAGCAGGTAGCTGGATGGTAAAGCTAAAAGCAGGAGGTGGATTGATTTCTAATATGAAATTTCAATGATTTGATACATTCTTCCTTCACAAACATAACCTACTTCTAAAAAACCTATTTTCTATAATTTAGAAAAATCATTATTCTCTCTCACTCTGTACGTTTTCACGTATATATACAAAACCTAAAGAATTGTTTCCAATAATTGCATTATTAGACTTACTGAAGTTGCTCTAATGTACTATTTTTTTTGGTCACAGAAGCTTAATTTGAAGCAAGATTTCTAATATATTTGTAAAAGTAATTGCAAATTCACTATTTTTAATATTTGCCATTATCAATGTTAATTTGGTGCAGTTATTTAAATTTTATTTTGTACATAATAGCATTTGAAATCCATTTATATAATTGTGTTATGCTTAGACTATTGACTATTGATACTTATAAAATTCTGTTGTCCAGTGGCTGTTGTCTCAGAGTGTTTCATAAAATAATATCAGTCCTGATTTATGTGTGTTTTATGGAGCTGGTAGGAAAATCTAGAGACTATACAAATGGCAAAAAAAACAACAAAACAAAAAAACTCTCTTGTCTTGTTCTCACAAATTTGAGTACAGCAGAACTGAACATAGTCCAGATGATTTTATTATACTACAAAAATAAATTAATCTATTTCTTTGATTTGAGATGTTTTAAGGGATAGTAACTTCCACTGGTGATCAAAAATATCAATTGAACATGACCGTGGTTACCTGCAATTGTTATAGTAGTTCTTAGGCCATAACATTTCTGTACTAAACTTGCTATAATAATCATTGATAAATGTTGATTCCGTTCTTTCTATTTTTATGTTCCTATATATATATATATTCAGTTTATTCAGTACAGGGTATTTATTAATACACTTGGTTTTCTGAAGAACACGTCAGTAGCTAACCTATAAAAGAGCAGGCCATAGTGTGTTTCATCCAAGGAGCGCAGAGATGGTGTTTATACAAGCTATTCTCTTAAAGATGAGCAACGTTTTATTTCCACTAAGTTGCATAGGCTCTCTGCAAATAGAAACTCTTTAGGCAGCAAAGCAAGCTGTGTCTCCAGGTGGTATATCGCAATGCTGCCTACGTTTTGAGTAAATAACAATTGAATAGAATAAGCAATTTATACATTGAGCAACAATCCATCCCACATGAATTCTGATTTGTATTTTTCACAAGGGATGATCTCCAAAGATGGTGTTTTTTGAGATTTCCAACCACAGTTTCTTATTCTTTCAGAATTCCGCAGATGCTTTAATTGCTTCAGAGGTTACTCCCAAACCTACCAGTTATTAGCAATGGTGGCAACAGGTAAGTAATTCTGCTTGTACAGTGAGGGAATTGGTTACTGATAGAGAAACGGCTTAACTTTGGTTTAAATGTTCTGCCTGTTAGCCAGGAAACCAGTAGCTGTTCTGTGGGGGCTATTTCTTTAAAGAACATGATGCTGCCCACATCATAAAAACTGTTGTGGACCCTTCCTCCCATCAGGCTGAGTCTGGCCTCAGACTCCAGGAAAGATATTTTAGCTGCTGTTTGAATTGGCACTTGTGATCTGCCTGCTTTTCTTTTGCATTGCTGAGCTGCGGTGGCTGAAGGGGATGGTTTGAGGGAAAGGTTTTTCTCCGCCAGAAGTGGTTAGCATCCAGGGAAGGGAATGTCAAACAAAAGCTCTTTTTGCAGCAGCTGCCACAGCTGTGGCAGTAACGTGGCAATGACTGAAGTGGTGCCACTAGATTGTGAGGATACTAGAAAAACACTTGAAAAAATTAACGAGAGACTTGCATGAATATACCACAGTTCTGCATGTGGAGTTACTCAAGCCAGAAATGGTGTATAAAAAGTAATAAGAGCTGGGTTTTCAGAAGTGTCCATCTAAATAGTTATTCTCAGCTGCACAGGAAAAGGACATGTATGTGTGAATCTCTTTGCTGTAGTTTTGGAGGATTTTTTGATCTTTGACACTGTCAGACCTGCATTTTAAGAGCTTTACTCACCTGTATTTATTCAAATATATGTTAATTTAATGATTTTAGGAGGGTAGCAACTTTACCCTCAGCAAGTTCATGCCCTCATTGAAAACATGTAAATCATCTTCTGAAAGTTTGTAATTCAGTCAGTCCAGTTTGCATGTACATTCACACCATCACAAGTTCAGTCCTTTTTATTTGTCATTATTTTAGTAATTAGTTAAATCATGTTATTAGACACAGAGCAGATCCTCAGGTTCTTCAGCTGGCTGGTTTAGCTGATTAGGCAGACAGAAATGTCTCTCATCTAGACAGCCTCAGCAGTCTTATGACACACACACACAAAAACTCTCATTGGAGCCACCATTTTGTTACATAAGATGAAATAACATGTTAGACATGAATACCAGGTTAGGGTGTTTTCATTAATGTTTCTCCTTTCCATTGGCTATTACCTCCTTTTAATTGACCTGCTGTTCCTTGTGCTGTATTCTGAAGTAGGGCTGAAGTAATGTAAATCTTGTTGCTACTGAGAAGGGGAGATACCACCACTGCTAGCGAGTGGGTAATCACATGGCTGGAAATAGGGATAAGGAGAGAAGGAGAAAGCAAAAGAGGGTAAAGAAAAGTAGAATCTTCTCTTTCTGGTAGTCCTAAATGCAAGCTAGTATTCTGTCTCAGGACCTGCACTTCAAATGAAGAATTTTATATTGGTATTATGAGTATTTTCCACCCTGAGTTGGGTTTAAGGAAGCTTTACAGGGAGCTTCTGACCAAGGAGCAATACCACCTGGAGCATCTTAATTTTGGGCAAGCCCAGGCCACACTTCTCCTTAAAGGAACAGATGGCTGGGTGAAACCTGGAGCTCCGAGCTGCCTGTAATTGTCACAGTAGGACCAAGGATCTATGGTGTTGCCATGTGCTCTTGGTTTCCATTCCTGGAATGGGTAACATGATGGCGGAGCAGATGTGCTGCATGTGTAGCACCATGGAACAGTCAGGTATAGTTTGTGTCATTTAAATCAGCTGAGTGGATGATGCACAAGGTGGCCACCACTGCATATGTGTAAATGCCAGCCCCACTGAAGCAAAATCACTGACAGAAGTCAGTGTGGTCAGGACTACAGATCCAGCAAATAGCCATTTGTATCATTTGCCTGAAATGCAATTAAAAAAATACATTTTTTTTACAGTATGATAATTAAAAATAACTTATTACATTTTCAGAAATTGCTGTAGTCATATATGTACAAACACAGAGATATAGATATAGTCTAATCAAATGCACACTATTTAAAAAATATGTAACTAGACAATCCTCACTTGTCTGAAGATGTACTATGTGATATTGCAGCTGGTACCTTCTGTACTGGACACATCCATATGCACTCCATTGTCCTTAGAAGATGATAATAGCTGCATATGCAGAGAATAAAGCTTTGTGCTACATTAATATTAAAGGCATCCTTAAAGGAAAATTGAAATTCAGTGATAAGGTGAACTTTTTTGTGTTAAAAATGACATTTATTTTACTCTACTGTATTCATCAGGTATTTGGGCAAATGCTAAGATAAACTATGCAAAAAACAGCAGCTTTGGCTCTTCTTTATGGGATTATTCATCTTCTTGTGAATTTTGCTAAAAGCAAGCCTTTTTTTTTCCCCTTCAGCTCTTCCAAACAACCTAACAGATAAGTGTAACAGTATTTAGGATTTCACACAGAATTTAATGCGTGCAAGCAGATTTTTCCCTATCTCATTCCAACTCTCTAAATAGTGCTCTTCCCCTTCGTGTATAGTCACTGGAGTTTAACCTTCGGTGCTGGAAGTTGCTGCTTCATCTCTCCTAACTCTTCTGCTGGTAGCTCCAGTACATCATTGCCTCCCGGGGCAAAGCGTCACTGGACAAGGCTCCCACCTCCCTCCATCTCAGAAATTCAGCTCTGCTCCAGCTGCAAGCTACCGAGAGTGGCATGAGGATTAATGAGATCTGACTCTGAGAAAACGTGAAGCTATACCCAGTGAGTCCCTGCCACAAATATTTGTTGTACTTGTTCTGGCACATTCACGGCCTG